TTTCCCCAAATTTTTGGAAGTGCCTTTGAAGGTCCCATCCAAAGACCATTCATGAGCATGGGGACATATTTGTTTGCAATGACCCTTTGCCATAAAGAATTGGGCTTATGGATAAAACGCCATAATTACTTGGCTAAAAATTCCTCATTTCGAAAACTTAACCCCCCAAGGTGTATAGGCTTAGACATCTTCTTCAGACTAAATGAGACCCATTCCTTCATCGAACTCTTTCCATAAGAAATCTCCCGTAAGCTTCTCCGAAGTCTTACTAACTGACACAAGGATTGAATGTAGGTCGGAATCTACCCCTTTAGAGAAAAAACAAGGTCCCAAAAAGGAAAACTATGAGGGTTGCGACCTAAACAGAGACCTAAATAAGAACTACAAAAGGAACCTACCTCCCTCCTCATTAATGCTGCCCACCTATTCATCTTGATTGAATCACAGTTGATATCCAGAATCAAATTCTTTCCTCTATTGATCTCCAAACCAGAAATAGACTCAAAAAATGACTGAAAACAATTTAGATTCACAAAAACCCCTCCTTCCTACCTGAACAATTCCGAGTGATCAAATCATTTGATGGGGTAGAGACTGCAGCGAGAGTTATTTTGGTGGGAATTTGAAGATCGGCTTAGAAATTTGTGGGTCGGTTTTGGGAGGATGTCGAGTCAGTTGGGGTTTACGATGGAATTTATTTGGCGGGTTTGAACAGTACTATCATCTTGTGGAGAAAAGCAGTTTATCTTTTTCATTTTTTTTCCTTTTTGGTTGTCTGGTGTATCTTAACTAGTTGTATGGGTGGAGTTTCATGCATAGCTCTCACTGCTGCTTCACAATTTTCAGGCTGATTTGCGCATGGCTGATTTCCGTGCTAAACAGCGGGCAATGGAAGATGCCATGACGGCTTTAGAGGTAAATCATATGAACAGTGTTCGTTTCTTTTCTTGGGGGTGGAGAGCCGTAAATGATTTTGACTAATTTCCCTAAACTTCTAGTCATTTGAAGTAGTTTTTTTGTTATCTTTTTCCATTTAATTTTTGCTTCCAAGAAAGAGTTGACCTTTTTATGTACTCTTTTGTTGCAGTTTGTCAAAAATATACATGATATGATGGTGAGAAAGATGTACAAATTGTAAGTTCTTCTTTTACTTGAGAATTTCTCCATTTGCTCCCCTTCTCTCTCTATTTCCCTATAGGAGCCAGGAGAGATTGTATTCGATAGCTAATTAAACTTTTGACATTCATTTGCAGTCCTCTGTCTAATGAACCCGGGTTTCCAATTGCCAATGATGTGATGGGCCGTATAAAACTAGAAAAAAACGGCAAGAGTCTCGATTTCTTAACCGGTGAACTATCAACTGACCGCATTTCTGCTATTCAGGTATTTTTTGTCTATGGCCATCAATAATTGTTCTTCATTTTACAGTTTGTATCCACAATTACAATATTCTCCATCTACTGGATGTATAGGAAATCTATTGGAGCATGGCCTCTGCCCTCTCTGAAGCTGATGGAATTGATTATACTGATCCAGATGAGGTCTAAATTTCTCGACTGTCAATTCTTTGGACAACATTGACAGTGACAAAGGTTTCGATTTGCTCATTAGTTATTTCTATCTTTCGTAGCTCGAGCTGTTGATTAGAACTCTCATGGATCTTGATGCAATGGATGGCAAAAGCAGCGTATCACTCCTTGCGGAATGTTCGAGCTCTCCAGACGAAAATACTAGGTATGCTGATTTTGATTCCTGATGGACGAAGTAACATAGCTTGCTTAGAATTTGAGTGCGTTCTTGGAGATGCTGGAAATTTTACGCCTGTGTTATTTTTTTTCTATTATTGCTTCAACGGGGTAATAAGCTGATCTTTGTTGTTGCTTTGGTAATCAAGACAAGCACTGGCCAATGCTCTGGCAGCAGCCCCATCCATGTGGACTCTTGGAAATGCAGGCATGGGAGCTTTGCAGGTAACTGCTCTCTCTCTCTCTCTCTCGGGGGTCTCGTTCCTTCACTTGCTCTCGCTCATGCGGGTCTAGTTCATTCATTTGCTCTTGCTCATGCGGGTCTCGTTCATTCACTTGCTCTCGCCCATGCGGGTCTAGTTCATTCACTTGCTCTCGCCCATGTGGGTCTCGTTCGTTCCCTCATGCGGGTCTCGTTCGTTCACTTGCTCTCAGCTCATGCAGTTGAAAGCCTATTTTATTAATCTTTCTACAAAAGGGGAAGTCGTTTAAGCTAGATTCCAAAGAGCTAATCAAACCGAACTAGCATCATTCTCAGCCTCTGATGGCTGCATGTTTATTATTGATTTTGCAGAGACTTGCAGAAGATAGTAACCCAGCAATAGCTTCTGCAGCATCCAAAGCCATCAAGGAGCTGAAGAAACAGTGGGAAATAGAAGAAGGAGACAGCTGGAGCTTTACAGTGAACCAAAAGACCACCATGGAAGCTAATGAAGCTAATGACGACGACGACGCAGATCGATTGTGAGAGATCTTATTAGAACCAAAATCTTCACTTGTAGATAGCTTAATTTAAGAGCATAGGATAAAAAAGAATTGGAGGCTGCTGTAAAGGAAACTAAGTCATTTTATCTCATGGGATTTTTCTTACAAATATAAGGAAACAGCCCTCTTTTTCTTCATCTTTTTTACCTTTTTCACTCTAGAGAAACACCAAACTGCCTTAAAACATCGATCATTTATTATTTACTTAAAATGTAATGATTTTATCTAAAGTAAAAACTATTTATGTGGATAAAGTCAATCATTGAATGCATATATCAGTGGATCATTAATTACTTCTGCATTGTGATCTTTGATAAAGATCAATAATGGTAGAAATCAATTGTGATCTTTGATAAAGATCAATAATGGTAGAAATTAATTCTGATGTCAAATAGGACCATATTTACTAGGAGTAGACTTGGATGGTTACAAATAGTATAATAAGATAGTTATAAATGGTATTAGAGTCAAACACCGAACGATGTGCCAACAAAGAGGTTGAGCTTCGAAGGGAGTAGACACGAGGCAATGTGCCAGTAAGGATGCTAGGCTCCAAAAAAAGGAGGATTGGAGGGTCGCACATCGATTGAAGGACGCTGGGCTCCAAAAGAGGGAGGATTGGGAGTCCCACATCGATCGAAGAAAGGAACGAGTGTCAGCAAGGACGTGGGAACTTGAAGGGAGGTGGATTGTGAGATCCCACGTCGGTTAGGGAGGAGAACAAAACATTTCTTATAATAGTGTATATAATAGTGTATAAACCCTAACACGGTAAACTTTATTTACATCAATACCTTCTGGTCAGCCATTAATTAATTATGCATATAAGAACTGTCAATAACTAATTAGACATGAAATATAGTCAATTACTTTAATGTTGTTTCTTAATCAGATGTCTGTGTCTGTGTCTGTCTTTCTCTGTAATTTGTCTCTGTCTGGTCCCATGCTGCAGAAGAACAGTAATGGTTGGATGATCCTCACAAGTCAGAACAGAAGCACTACTGAAGCTGAAACACAGAACCCTTCAAAATCTCCAATATAAATTGAATCCCATCCATCTTTGCCTCCATTCTTAAAAAACAATAACACTAATTTGGTGCCATTAGTTTTTGGATTAAAATACCTTCTAAGTTTTTAATTGTTTTGAACTTTTAAAAAAAAAGCTTAATTGTTATTACGGATCGTTTTTAAAGTTTAAATTGTCGAAAAATGTTTATCTACACTTCATCACCTCTCTTTTACATTTTCTCTCTCTCGTTCGCTTCATCTCCAGCTATTCTTACCTATTTTCCCACTTTTTTGCCTCTCTTCTTAAAGATCATCTAACTCCCTTTCGATCGAGCTATATTGGCTATAGAAAAAAACTTAAATGTTTTAACAATGTTGTATGTTAGCATATGTGTGTGAGTTAATATGTTTGAGTTTAATAGACAAATCGAGAGTTATATCATAATTTTAAGGACAATCAATGAGAAGAAAAAAGAACATAAACATATGTATTATCAAACTTGTAACGTTGAAATTTTGTTGATGCCTTTTGCAATTTAAAATTCTTACATTTATCGTGAATGGACTCTAACTCTAATAGAACAGTCAAATTAAAGGGAGAGAACTAAGTTACTTACGTGACGACACCATTAACTACTCCAAGACCTAAGACACGTTTGAAAAAACAAGCAAGCATTTGGTATGCTCCTTTTATAACACCAACCATTCAATACACCCATCATAGCAGTGGGCCAAATGGCCTATCGACTCAGACATTCTGAAGCACTGTCACTGATTATTAAGCCTATATACAGTTCAAACTCTATTTAATCCTTCAAAATATTTCCCATCTTGCAGATCCATATGGTCCTATGAATCCCCAATCCATCTATTCAAAGTACATCCAGTGACAAACAAAAATGGATAAGCATAAAGTGGACACCCCTTTTAAAAAGTACAATGATGTTTTTCTTTGTTTAGAAGTGTTATCTTAACATGTACGTATTGTTTTCTTTGGATTTTTCTTTTCGAACTTCCTCTCAAGGTTTTACAACACGACTACTAGAGAGATGTTTTCACACCCTTATAAAAATGTTTCGTTCCCCTCTCCAATCAATGTAGGATCTAATAATCTAATCCCCCTTTAGGGTTTAGAGTCCTCGCTGACACTCGTTCCTCTCTTCATTCAGCGTAGGATCTCACAATCCACCCCTTTTCGGGACCCATTCTTGACTCTAATCATTGGGATCTCCCGCAACCAATCAAACCTGGTAGGAATTTTCCTTGTCTCTTCTCATATTGACTTTTAGAGCCTAGTAATTCTATATTCACACTCGTCTAATTCCTACTACAAGTCAACTGCTTAACCTTACCATATTTGGTTGAAAGCAAACTCATGATGTAACATCTCTTGCTATAGTGACACTTGTGAATGTGTTCATATGGGGTTTCACAAAGGAAGAACAACCAGTCTGATGAGTCATGTTTGAAGTAATAAAGATGTTTAAGGATTGAAACACTGAACAAATTATGATTAGCACAGGTCAATGTTCACTTCGTAAATTAGAAAGCAACAGAGACTCACAAACCACTACACATTTTACATGAATTACACCCACACCCACATCAAACTAAAACTAACACTACAACTACAACTCCCCACACAGCAACAAAGAGAGAGAGAGATACGAGTGAGATAGAGAAAGAGTCAAGATACTACCAATTAACACTGCACTGCAACAATCTATTGTTGAACGCTAACTTCTGTCAATGGACCCTTCACCTTGGGAGGTCGACCTCTGGGCCTCCCACTCGGTACCGGAGGAGCTGGCGGGGTTGCTGGCCGAGGGAATTTCCTTGGCCGTCCTCTCGGTTTTCCAGTCCCAGAAGATACCTTCATCTGCACTGGCTTTGGTGGTTTGGGAGGTTTTGGAGGCGCATTCGGGTCCTTAGGCGGGCGGCCTCTTGGCTTCGGCGGGGATAAAACAGAACCAGGCGGCAGAGGCACCTTCAGTTTTGGAGGCCTGCCACGTCCCCGCCGGGGAGGTGCCGTGGGATCCCTCTTCATGTAGTTGTTCTTCCAGAACACAAGTTCCCCACTGGCTTTCATCATGTTCAAATGGTGCGTTAGCAAAGATGAATGCCCAGTTGGTAAGTTCCCATATGTTGATTCAATGTACTTTGATATGGTGGATTTGTTTGAACCATTGTCACTATTCAATGCCTCAATAGCCCTAAATATCATCTGCAACATTTAAAACGCCCCTCGTTCAAAAATGGTGTTTCAATTCAACCTTTTCCTTTCATTTTCATGATCCACTTTTATCAGCTTCAATGATTCGCAGATCTAAATTGAAACTTGATAGCCAAATCAATCAGGATTCTTCTTTCTCAGCATTTCAAGAGAATTCAAATCGAAGCACATTTCAAATGAACTTGTTTCCAGCAAATTCAGTTAATGGCATTAATCTCAAATCTCTTCTGACTCAAACAAAATTCAAACCTCAAAACCATTTCATTCAGGATGATGGAACTGAAGAATCATTCAAAATAAGATCAGAAACAAATCATCGAAGAAACTGCAGTGAACCAGAAGCACATTCATGTCATCTCTAACAAGAGCTAAAGAAATGAAAAATCTCCGATGAATAATCAACGTTTCATGTTTTTTCCGAAAAACAAACGCTCAGATTAGAGAAGAAAATGCAAGAAAACACAAGGAAACAAGGATTTTCTCCTGTTAACCAAATCACCAGAGAACAACAAAATTCAGTAAACAAGACACAAAATCAGAAGAAACCCTAATTCAAGAACAGATTAACACACAAATCCATAATAGATTCAACAAATTAGAGGTAGTGAGACGAAGAGGAGCAAAAAATTAAGAGAGAAAAAACAGAACATATCATCATTTTTGGTTGATGAATATCAGAAATTGCGGGAAATAGAGAGGAAAACGAATGTACCTCAGGGTAAGGAGGGAGTGATGGAGGTTTATTAACCTCTTCGGCCGCCATTGAAGAGTGAAACAGAAGCTTTAATTTCCGTGAAGACAACAGAGAAAGAAGGTGAAGAGTCACTCCGAAAGCAGCTAGAGATAGAGAGAGAGGAACCTACTACTGCTGTTCGAACGAAATTTTGCTCTGTAACTGTTTGATTTGAGCACAGATTTGCAAAAAGGAAACAATAAAAAAAAAAATTTAAAATTAAAAAAAAATGATTTTGAGTAATTTCTTTCCCTTTATTTTATTTTATTTTATTTTTTTGTTTTGCAATTTTGATGTGAATCGTGAACAGCTGGAATCTTCTAGTGGATGATGATCGGACGGTCTGTATTTGTGGATCGAAGTTCTGCACGGATTGATGACGTGGTACGACCTTGTTTCAAGGATTTTGAAAACGTAGGTAGTGAAGTTACGATTTTGCCCCTCTTTATCTGGCTTTTCCAAGCTTGTGAGAACGACGGACAGCCCTCGCAAGTGGCAACTGCAACAAACAAAGATTTTTGGAATTGACCACTTAAATGTCTTTTCCTTTTATTTTTAGATTACAAGTTTATCCTATTTTTTTTTTTATTTAATTTTATTTCTATTTAATTTCTAATTTTCTTATATTTATATATCTACTCCTAGTTATCAACTAAATATTTGGTCCAATATTAACCAAATATCAATCTGTAGAAGATACGTTCATTTTTTAAAACACATATACAATAATACAAAATTAATCTTAAAAAAAATACAACTAACTGATGTCTCGGATTGACACTCCTATGTGATAATGCAGTTTCTTAGCATCTCCCCAACTGGACCGATACCTGTAAGAAACAAAAAAAAGGAGAAAGGGGTAGCAAATTTAAAATTTTAAGGCTTTTCGTTTAATTTTTTATTTTTTGAAATGTCCCATTTGAGTCCACAAACATAAATAACATTGCAGCTAATACATTTATGTTTTTTTTTTTTTTTCTCGGAGTAAAGTTTAATCTCAACCTAGTCTACACCGGTTAGATTTAAAACTTTTGGTCTCTTAATATCAAACAAATTATTTTAATACATGAAAATTGTCTTATAAACCCATTTTTCAATCAATTTTGAACTTATGATCTCGAAAAAAATAATAGTATATTTGTGTTAACATTTTAGATTTGAATTAGTGTTGTGTTAAGTCTTCTCGAAGAACAGTGACTAGCTACGAACATTTTAGTCATTTAAATTCCCAAATCACATACACAAAACCTTCCAAATCAATTCCATTGGACGACTGATTATTCCACAACAAGTTAATCGTACAGTTACTTGAATGTTCATACATGCCACCCTAAATCAATAATTGTAATGTGAAAACACTCAATTTTCAATCAAATTCATCGTGTCGTTATATGAAAGGAAAGAAATGCTACAAACATTATTGGAGACAAACAATATAAAGGCGAAGGATGTCCAATATGTAATACAAATATTTGGAGCCCACGAAACTAACAGTGGTGAGTACTTTGCCTTCTAAGAGTGAATACTATTCTCATAAACTAACACGAGTTCTTTTAGCATATTTTGTTCTTAGTTCTATGAAGGTCACCCTAAGCAAAACCTGTTCTTATGATTAAACCACAAAAAAGGAGAGTGTATCTAATTAGTATAGGTACTGACTTTCAATTTTTTTTAGTCATCTTATTCTCAGGATGACTCTCATTCAAATATGGTATTGGTTTATGCGTATACCCCTCCTTTACTCAGATGTCATAAGCCCACTAACTTGTGCATTGGTTCATCCTCTAACCCACTGGGGGAGGTATCATTTTGTTACAAAGTTAAGCATGATTGGTTTTGAGCAATCACGTGTTGAATAATGTCTTAAAATGCTGGAGAGATTCATGTTGCTATATAGAAGACAATTTTCACTACGAAAAACGGTTTAAGACAAATAGATAACATGATTTGGTCGTATAAAATGCAGTAAAATTCTCGAACAGTCGATTTTGCATTAAAGTGGAACATGTGATACGAACAATGATTCTTACTAGTAAAATGGATAATGAAAAGAAAAGGAAAAAAGAAATTAAAAAAATGACAAAAAGGGCAGTGTATTCGAAGGTCTGCGGAAGGGTAATTTAGGTATTTCATTCGTAGGTAAACCATTTAAAAGATTATATTTCAGGAAAATCAGGAAAACTAGGTCAAATTTCAATAATTAACAACAGAAAAATAGACCATTTTTTGTTTACAAAACCGCAATTGTAAAATCCAAGGGAAGAACAAAAGGTTTATTGAAGAAAATATCGTCTTCTTAGTCCCGAAGGAAAGTGTCTCTCAGGCCGCCGCCGCCGCAGCCGCCGCCTCTTGCCAGAAGAATCTCAGTTTCTTTCTAAAACGCCCTATAAATCCCACACGCACGGTGTCGCCTTCCGACGTCATCTCCTCAGAATCCTCTATTTGACGTTGAAATTCTTATCTCTTCGCTCTCTCGTAAGTCCTTCGACTGTTTTTAGATATTATTTTTCTGGTAAATTGTATTAATCTCTTTATGTTTTTATAAAATTTGGTTATTATGTGGATTTTTTATGCTGATACACTTTTTGGTTAGGTGTCAATCGGACTTTTGGATGGAGATTTTTTTTTTTTTTTTTTTGAGAATGTTCGATGCGATCGGGATTATCTCTTTTGTGATGTTTATAAGAGAATGATTGATATTTTGTGCTTATAGATCTTTAAAGCGTTGTAGAAGTTGCAATCGAGCGAGGATGTTTGGTTTTTGCATAATGAATTCTTGATTCATGCGTAAATCTTTCATTAATAACAATTTTCCATGTGCCTTTTGACTCTATTTCCAGTTTTAGTTACATTTTTATACATAGTTATTTTCTTTCTTCTCATGGGTATATTTCCTGGTTTTGGGTTTTAGATCTGAAATCTGAAGTTAGTTGGACTGTCTTGAATTTGTCTCTGTTATAACCTCATCCATTTTGGAAGTACATATGTTGTACATGGGCGTACTGGAGTTAGTAATCATTGACTGGCATTTCTAGTTTCTAAAATTTTATTTCGTTTAACAATATGTCTACAACGATACGTTTTGTTTGTATAATTTCCGAAGTTTAAATATCGGAAAATTGGAGAACGATCTTAAACAAAACATAAGAAACGATGACTACATAAATGGTCCATCAAATCATCATTATGGTCCACGTAACAGAACCTCAAAGCTCATAATAGAGTTTAGTTGGAAAATCAACAGACCTACAGACTAGAATCGGATGTTTATGCATTCCATTTTTACCTTTACTAGTGTTATGAAGCACATTTGCAGTTCTATTTGCATTTCTATGTAAGGCTACCTTCTTCTAGTCCGATCCATGTGTTAAGTTAAATACATAAAAATCTAGAACGTGTCTTTTGGTGGGTGGGTTATGTTAAACCTCAACTTTGAGTTGGTACGGCAAATTGTTTTAGAAATATCTGCTTTGGCACTTCACAGTCTTGGTTGGGCTTTAGTGGGGAGTTTGTGTCTTGTTGAGGATGGATGTTGAGTTGGATGAGCAGGTCATTTTCAACTAATAGTGAATACATGTTACAGTTGATACATTGAATGAATTATTGATTTGTCAAGTTTCATGCAAGTATCATAATGATTAATGTTTATCTTACCTTTCTGCAGGACTTCTTTTCTGTAGTTCTTCGAAATCTGTTTCCTCTTATCAAACCGGATGGCTACTCCTTTGGATATGTCCCTAGAGGATGTGATAAAGAAGAATAACCGTGAGAAGCTTAGAGCACGAGGTAGGGCTCGTCGTGGGCGTGGTGCAGGTGGGTCTTATAATGGGGGAAGAGCAGTAGTGATAGGGTCAGTTCGTAGAGGTCCGCTCGGCATAAATGCAAGGCCATCTGCTTTCTCAATTAGCAAGGCAAGCTTCAAACTGTGATGTTTAATGCATATGCTTGAGAACCTGATATTCCTTGAAATACATGCTCATGAGGATCTCAAATAACACTAAAGTAACTCTAACAGAAGAGGATCAGTAAAATTGTTGTTCTATGGAGAATCTCATCGTGGGTCACCCTCTGATCCGATTCGTCTCCTGGTGTATTTGTACCATTATCTTTGCAAATATTGAATACGTGTGGGTTATCTGGGTTATTTTCAAAGGACTTTCAAGAGTGGAGAATTATATTCTTGTCAATTTATAAGCTGATATGTGTTTTCTCCGTCTGGATTCTTATCTGCATGCTTTCATCAGCCCCCACGCAGAATGAAGAATGTTCAGTGGCAGCATGATTTATTTGAAGACAGTCTTAGAGCTTCAGGGATTTCTGGAATTGAAATTGGCACAAAGTTGTACGTTTCTAACTTGGATTATGGGGTGACCAAAGAAGATATAAGGGTACAACTCAAGCCATATATATTTGACTAAAGATGCTTTCTCTTCATTTTTTGATTAATACTCTCTTGGAACCTGACGGTGAACTCAGGAGTTGTTCTCTGAGATTGGAGACCTGAAAAGATTTGCAATTCATTATGACAAAAATGGCCGTCCAAGTGTAAGTTCAACTGGTTTTTTTCGTAGAAATATGCAGTGATGTGTTGCCGTATAGCTTTCTCTGGAATTGAGTATTTACATTGTTTTGGTAGTCATAACTGTGTGACCATGAAATCAATATTTGCTTTTGGTGGATTCGAATTTGTCTATGTGCAAAATTCATCTTTACTTTGGAAGCTAGATAGTGCTGAAAAAAGCTATTACAAGGAACTTTTTACTAGAATACATGTAACAAATGCCGAGAAGTTAAAATTAATGAATATGTTATATATTGCATGTTTTTTACATATCAAATTCAAATTTTCTTCATTTATCATTGTTATTCGTATTTTGTTTCCCTTAAGTTGGCAGGACATCTATAGCAAATATGATAATCATTCTTCTGTTCTAAATGCGTTTGTAATAGTTAGCTCCCTTATCAAGCTTTAGTTGGCTGATTAACTTTCCATTGTTTATTTAAGGGCTCAGCCGAGGTGGTATATACTCGCAGAAGTGATGCATTTGCTGCTCTAAAGCGCTACAACAATGTGTTACTGGATGGGAAGCCAATGAAGATTGAAATGCTTGGAGATAATGCTGACACGCCAGTTTCTGCACGCATAAACGTTACTGGAGTGAATGGAAGAAGCAGGAGAACCGTTGTTCTAACGTATGGAGTATCTTTCTCTCTTCCTTTTTGCTCTTTTCTTATTTAATTTTAGTATCTTCATAACTAATTATTGTTTCCTGTGAATAGAAATTTGTACTTACTCACAGATAGGTCTTCTTTTTATAATCTGTTTCATCAATCAGTGAAATGGTTCTTTTTTCTATTTGCAAAAAAAACGTATTCATTTTTGTTCAGACTGGCCTTTGATAAATTTTATAGTAGTAGTCTATTAATGATTTATTATCTGTGATATAGACGTTCCCTTGTCCTTGGCTGCTGTGTCGGAAACTTCCCCCTCTCTCTTACGTGCTCTCCTTTGATAATCGCGTTCTTAAAATGATTGATGAAAAGATGGCAAAATCTGCTTCAAATGTAGAGTAAAATTAATATTTGTTGGGTATATGCAGGTCTGAATCTGGTCGTACTGGTAGCTCCCACGCGGTCAACCCTTTTCCTGGGTAAGTTCTAACTCGAGATTGTATTGGGCATGAAATTTTTATATTCAATAGTGGAGAACCAGTTCTTTTATTATTATAATTGCATTCTGAGATTGTTTTACTGCTTGGTAGCTGGATTAATTTTGGAAGTCATTTGTTCTTGGTATTTAGTCTTATCTCTGATTTTTATAGGGCCTTTACAATTGAGAGTTAGATCTTTTCTATCTGTTTGGAAGTCAGGCCAATGAAAATTTTCTTTTTTTCCCCCATAAAAATATTTTCACTTAGAAATAAACAGGTTTCGGGAATTAAAAAAAAAAAAAAAGAGGATGCCAGATGTTAGTGATAATAGTGCAATGCTTGTGTGTTTGTGTGTTTCTTAATTTTTATAAACCAACTGTTTATATATGCCTCTATTTTAATGAATTATATTTGAAAATTAATAGGCAGAAAAATGAAATGAAAACACAAAAACAAAATAAGATTTTTCTTAGTTTTTTTAAGCTTAAATTGTTTAATTTGTCCTTAAGCTTTCAAAAGTCTTTGATTAGTCTCTAAACTACTTTCAATTTGTGTTTAATAGACCTCCTAAATTTAAGAAGTGTTTAATAAGTTCTTAAACTTACAATTGTGGTGACCTATTAGACACAAATGAAAATTTAGGGTTCAATTAGACATGTAATTCAAATTTATATCTAATAGAACATACAACCTTTCTAAACTTTCTAAAGAGGCACTTATTAAATACAATGGGAAGTTCTTTAGAAACTAGAGATTAAAAAAGAAATGGTTATTAAGTAGGATGTTAGTTGCTAAAATAATAGAAAAGAGTTCTATTATAATAGTTCGCAAAATAAATTTCTAATAAATGTTTTTCTAGATGTGGTCATGAGTGCGTTTTGCTTCATAGTTGTAAACAAGTTTATTATGCATGGAGGAGTGGACGGTAAGAAGAAATGTAGGTTGGAAGTCAAAGAAATTAGTTACTGTAGGTTATATTCGATCACTTTGAAATTATTTACTTGAGGTATCTAAGGGTTGTTGGTTTAATTCTCAACACTTATTATAGGTTTAATTCTCAAGCACTTATTATATATGATGTAATATGTATTTATTTATTTAGTTATTTTTTAAAAAGATATGCATGGTGTTCAGCCTCAGCTACTAAGTTCTTAAAAAAATGCACGTCATGAGTTGGAAATAAAGTACTTGCTTAAATCGGTAGGACAACTTGTTTCTATTGCTGTCTGGTTTTATTGGAGTTTTTGGGTTTTGTATAGTCCAAGCCATCGTGGAGGGCTGAGGAGTGGTCGCGGTCGTGGTCGTGGGCGAGGGGGCTGGAGCCGTGGTCTAGGAGGTGGAGGAGGCCGTGGTCTAGGAGGTGGAGGCCGTGGCCGAGGGCGTGGTAGTGGTAGTGGTCGTGGCCGTGGCCAAGGAAGAAAGAAACCTGTGGAGAAGTCCTCCGCTGAACTCGACAAGGAGCTTGAAAACTACCATGCTGAAGCCATGCAAACCTGACCTGATTAACCACTTGTGTTAGCTGTAAGATAGAAGAATGTATGTCACACTCTCGTGGGGTGTGTGCTTATTTGGTTATCATTAGTTATTTCCATGCTTACTTTTTGCTCTTCAGTAGTAGACTAGATTGTATTTTTCCTATTTAATGGAGGAGATGATGCTGTTTGACCCTTCCTTATCAAAACCTCTACCTCTTCGGTTGATCATGAACGAACCGAGCTTGGGGTTCATCGATCTCTCAAATAGGTGAATTGCTTTATGTATAAAGGAGATTTCGAGTTTAGTTGTTGCTATACATTGTTGAGAATGTAGTATCTTTTATTTTAGGGACCTATTGTTCAACTCCTTGGTCCTTTGATTTGATTTGATTTCTTAATCTTAATATCAGATTTTCATTACTTTTCTTGGAAAAACATAATTCAAATGCAACTGTGATAATTGCTCCAGTAGAGTACACAGAAGAAAGAACAAAAAGAATCCACAATCAAACCAAAAGAATGCACACTAACCACAATTGAATGAATGTTCTTGACACAAGAGGACGTCACTTCCTTTCTCTTCTCATCTGTGTAATTGTTATTTACGCTTTGGGCAATCTGCCCAATTGTAAATCATGACTATTTTACATTGTAAAAAGGTTCACAAACACGAACAAGATGTATCCTATCCTTACACTCAAAATAACAGATGGGATATCTAATCTCAAAATCATTTAAACCATGAATGGAGTGGGTGATGTTATTGAGATTGAGGGTGAGCTTCATCTGCTGCTGTTGCTGCTGTTGCTACTTCTTTTCTAAGACGAAGATCTCCTGATTCGCTTCGATGAAATAGCGTTTCAACCACTTCGTCCCAGTTCGTCCTGCCAGAAGTGGGTTTTGTCTTTGTCGAGGATTCTCCACTTTGGCTTGGAGGAGGCTCTTGTGTTTCGTCGTCTTCATGAGAAGCCTCCTCCTCGTCGTCGTCCTCCATCGAGTTCACGGCATGAGGAACTTTCAGACTAACGGCTCTTTCCAAAGCATCTTTGTGCTCTTTCTCAAGGGTCTGCTTCCTCTCAAATCTCTGTACTTTGGGTGCTGTTGTGGCTGTACTACCACCACTTTCTTTCATTAACTGAGTGTGAAATACTTAGTTAAATTATGTAAAAGTACTTGCAAAGTATCACAGCTATTACACATCTTAAACAAATGCAAAATAACGCCTCAGACGAACTTAATGAAGATATCATATACACGATATACAGCTACCTAATTATGCCGTGCAAGTTCGATAGAGTATACATTTCTTTGGGCTGACATCAATAATTAAGTTTCATGGTTTAAACCTTGGGATGGAATTGGAGAAGAAACTCATATCGATATGATTTGGTTTTCACTGGAAAATGGACTAAAGAGTCTCTCTATACCCGCCTAAATTCACCGCTAGCAGATATTGTACTCTATGGGCTTTCCCTTTCGGGTTTTCTCTCAAGGTTTTTAAAATACGTCTATACGTCTATTAGGAAGAGGTTTCCACACACTTGTAAAAAATGCTTCGTTCTCCTCCCTAACCGATGTTGGATCTCACATTCTCAATGGAGCTAGTAGTCTCCTCCAAGGGCATACGAAAGAGGGTCAAGCGGGTAGTATTGCTAAGCTTTGGCGATATTATACGTCGCCAATAAAGCCAACATTTGCTGATACTCAGACATGGTCAGAGCTCAAATGCTTATAAAAGGCTTCAAGATGAGAATAGATAAGATAAAAGATTGCTCTCCCATAGCCCCCTACTATTCTTGGACATACAATGGGTAAGCAATATACGACAGAATAGATACTCAAAAAGATTGCTAGTAAAAAAACACTCGTTCCTCCTTTCGTACACCTCGAATCCGAGAGAGAGAGAGGATACCCCATAAGATTTTCGAGAACATAAACGAGAAACACTCGAGTCATTGATTAAGAAATGTAAAGAGATTATACTTACTTCCAAGGCCTTCCCTGCTTCTTTCTCTATCCATATTATACCATGATCAGACGTAGCATGACACGACAAGACGATATGTTCGAATCTTCCATCAACGGGAATAGCTGTTCTAACTTCAGGAGGAAACCTCCCACATCTGGGAAGCAACAAGTGAAAGTATAAGTACAAATAAAAGAACAAACCACTCCACCAAACAAAATCCTTAAATCAGCTGAAAATCAGCTGAATCTGTAGTGTAAAGACCAAACACTGTCTTGTTTTGTGACATAAAACATAGCTACAAAGTACAACAACTTAATTTATGAAGATGGCTGTAGTTGAACTCAAGAAAATGACCAAAAAAGTAAAGAAATCTTCAACCAACATGAATAAGGGAGAAAGAACAATATGAATGATCTATACCTACAAAATTTCCTTTCGACGATATGATACATTCTTCCGGGCGCATACAGTCGTCTTTGATCCCGCAGTTTTCGACCCTCGGGTATGAAGGTATCCCTCAGGCAAACCAGGAACAATAGGCAAGGCAAACTGTCCAAAGTATCAAGGCCTGGTTTAAGAGATATTAATAGGAATTTTATTGCAATAGTTCTAAGATTGTGTGTCATAGATCCAAAATTTCAGCCCAAAAGTGATACATACCAAAAGATTGACTTAAATATATCTTCCAAAGGTGTGGCTGTTCTTGGCAAGAAATCATCCTGAATAAGAACAATCAAGCCATGTTTAAAAGAACATTAAGTTTCCTTTGATAACTAAAGATTACATACAAACAGAACGGAATTGAATAGCAACAAGCTTTAGATTGAACTCAAAAGGTCACAGAATTCTTAATCAAAGCCAAGCTGCAACAGAATCGTATCAAAATCATTATAGAACAAGCAACAAATCAAATGGGTATCAGTAGAATTCATCCATTACCTGCAAGATGACAGAATTAATGACATCTGCATATTTCACTGCCAAATTAAGCGACATACACCTTGCCGGCGCCACCGCATAGCACCGGACTTTACTTCTCGGAATACCCCCTAACCGATCCCGATGATTCACCACAATCACAGTCAACAACGCCGCCACACCAGACCCCAAGGAATGACCTGCAAATACCATATTGTAATCCGATCCATTCTCAACCCAAAGGCGTTTAAGCGTTTCAGATTCCTGATTCAACAGCCAAATCGCGGATTTCAAAAGACCATGATGAACAAATCCACCATCAAACATTTGCATCCCTAATCGATTATCCAACAACAGCTTGTAATCGCTCTCTTTCACAAGATTAAGACCCCGAATCGCAAGAACAATCTCGCGATGTTCGTGGTCGATATAGATTATGTAAGGCGGAGCCCGACCATTGGTCTGTTCATAAGTAACGCGCTTGATCAGCCAATCGGGGTTGGGGCGGTATCCTCCAGGAGGGAGGAATTGAGGGTTATTGAGATCGGATTCGTAAACGGCGAGGATTAAACGGCAGACTCGTGGGACTGATTCGAAGTCATCGCAAGTGGCCGGTGGCCAAGTGGCGCTGTCGTAAGAGCCGATGTAAGTGCATCGCTTCCAAGCCCATCTCAAGCAACCCAACACCACAACGCACTCGATTCCGCAGGAGAATGACATTTTTGGAGAGAAATGGAATGTGGGTTTTGGTCGAATCGAAAATGGGTATTGCAGAAACAAAGAAATTTAGGGGGAAATGATGATCTGAGCTTAGAGACAAAGCAAAATGGATTTGGGTTCAGTTTAATGGAAGCTTTGGAATGAGTTCGTCGTCTTCTTCGTCTGATTCTTCTTCTTCCAATCTGTTTCCGTCCTTTGCTTCGCTGTTGGTTTTGTTTACTGTAATTACAGAAAGATCCGTCGGGTCCTTTTTTTCTTTATTCTTTCTCAAGTTATCTAAGATTTTTAATACTGAAATATGAACAGAAAAAAGGGATTTTTTTTTTCAGTTCCAGAAAAAGAAAGAATGAAGAAGAAAGGAATTGATCTGTGTTTTTGTTTTTGTAAATCTATTTATTTATGAAAGAAGGGGTTTTTTTAGTTAAAAAAAAAGGAAGGGAATTGAATTATGTGTTTTTTCTCATGTATTTCATATGAAAATTTTAATATTCTATATATGCCGATGTTCTTGGGAGACTGATATTTGAATCACATTATTTAAATATCGATGCCCATGTTCTTGGGAGACTGATATTTGAATCACATTATTTAAATTCTAACTTCAACGTGCATAATTTAGTTATATAGGATCGAGTCAAAGAAGAGGATGCGTTCTAGAAATGTCCACGAGATGAGGCTGAGACTTTAGCTATGTAGGACCGAGTAAAAGAGGAAGGATGGACTCTAGAAATGCTCCCGAGTAAGGCAGAGACGGAGAAGCCTTCTCTATTCCTGTTCTTGTCTCCTATTTTAATCCTGTCCTCAAAATTCTTTATTTATTTTCTAAAAAAAAAATTCACTATGCATATGTCTATATATATATGTCACAATCGCATTTTTGATGACAGTGGACTTGCGATTGTGCAGCACTCACTTCCCAGCAATGAGTGAGTTAAACCAATTCGTTCTTGCGTCGCCTACAGCCAAGCGACGTATGCTCGAACTTTTGGTCCCAGTTCAAGAAGAAAGTCTTAGAAAACGGAGCAGAAAGATTTTGAAAGAGAGTTTTAAAAGATTGAAATTCGTGTTATATGCGATGCAAGCAAAAAGACAACAACAACGACTTACAACATATAACTATCGGGTAGGAGAAGTTAACAACTATACATACATACATATATACATATATACATACATATATACATATATACATACATATATACATATATACATACATATATATATACATATATACACGCACATATATATATATATATTTGTTTCAATTTTTTTTTTTAATGTAGAGTTATACAATTTTTTACTAAGTAAATGTATATTATTTAAGTATAATCTCTATGGACGATTGAAAAAAGTCGTTGATAGGCTATATGGGATTTTAGTACAAGGATTAAGAAATAATTGTTTTACGTTTGTTTGTGCTGTTTTATCTACATATTATGTGTAGAGATTGTTATGGGATCACCGAGAACTTGTCTAGACAAGGAAAAGGGGACCGCATGAGTACGAACAATTGACAGGCACGTGGTCACTCCTTCCATGATTATGATTCTTGTACTCTATAGAGATTGCTAGAAAGTGACCAACTAATCTCTAGTAGTGAATTGTTTCAATTGATAGGGTAACTATAAGGTCACGCCTTACATGTTATAACACACATACACGATCACTCCTTGCACGTATATGATGTGATCTATACAATATGAGGTCAATGAATCAACAAATAATCCATCAATATTCAAACTACCCCTGGGCCCTTTGGCTTAAGTGAGTTACCCTGTGGCACATACGTGTGCGAGCGTATCGAGACAAGTGTCTTGGGCGACTTCCTTTGAAATGGGTTTTTCAAGGACAGTATTGGGCGGTATTGCGCCCTAGCCCGCATGTTAGGAGGTTGCTACATACACCCACTATCTGGTACGGTATCCATAAATGACATGCATGAACACGGGAGGGCCAATGCCTCGATAGAATCCAGATGGATGGATGTTTGGGAAGTCCCGATGAGATGAACACACGTGAGCCCATTCTCGATGGCATGATCGAGTGAGTTATGATAGCCAACGACACCCTGAGACTCGAGATGATGTCAAGACATATGGGCCATGTCGGTGGAGATCGAAATGGCAAGATGAGACGCGATGGTGCATTGAGAGAACTTAATTCTGAGCAGAGACAAGGTCGAGCCGAATGACTTGACCTAGTGTAAAGGCAAGTTGGATGTGTCGCAGACGATTGAACATGCACGCACAAGCGGGAATGAATGATTTCGAAGGGAACAACAAAATTTTAATGGGACAATTTTAAAATATTATACTCTTTATTTATTTTTTCCCAATTAGTTGTGAGAGGGAGTACAGTAAGCATAAAAGTTTATGAGATAAAAAAGATATTAAAAAAAGAAAAAGAAATATTCTGCGTTCCTTTTAGTTGTTCTTTGGAATAAAAAAATATAGTGGTTTGTGTCGTCTACAAGAAAAGTACTTGATTCTCAATAAATAAATAAAACAATAATTAATTTATTTAATTTTTAATACAATAAATAGAATACGAGATTATTAAAAAAAACGTTTTCAAATTATAAACACGCACGTGAATTATTGAAATTTGGAACTACCCGTTCCCATCCATATACTAAAAGTTCGGTTCACAGATATTTTTGAGACATAATTGTAATTTTTAAGATATTGTCTGGTCGTCCCGTTAAGTATTTACACATTTGTAAGAATGTTCTGTTCTTCAATCGATGTGAGATTTCACAATCCACCATTCTTGGGAGCTCAGCATCCTCGCTGACACCCTATTCGGTGTCTGGTTTCGATACTATTTGTAACAGCCTAAGCCCAATGTTAAATAGATATTATCTGCTTTGACCTGTTACGTATCGTTTTCATGATTTTAAAACGTGACTAGTAGGGAGAGGTTGTCACACCCTTATAAGAAATGTTTTGTTCCACTCTCAAACCGACGTGGGATCTCACAATCCACTCCTTTGGAGAGCCAGTGTCCTTATTAGCACACCGCTCTTGACACCATTTGTAACAGTCTAAGCCCAATGCTAATAGATATTATTCGATTCGGCCCATTACGTATCGTCATCCGCCTCACGATACGATAGAGAGAGGTTTTCACACCCTTATAAGAAATGCTTCGTTCCCCTCTACAACTAACGTGAAATCGCATATATAATACAAAAATAGAAACAAAGAAAAAAAAAAACCTAACAAAACTAACATTTGATGCATCAGTTGGCCAACTTGAAAGAAAGAAAGAAAAATTAAAGCCACTATTTCAACCACATTTCTCATTATTTCTCTTCAAATGGGTTTGAATAAAGCACCAACCAAGCCATTCTTGAATAAGTGGGCAACACCAAAAAGATCCCAAAATTGGCCTATAAATACTTCTTCTCATATTCACCACCAAAAACACACCAAAATTAGGGCATATAGCCATGATATCAATCCATGCCTTTGCTTCAATCTTTGCTATCATCTTCTTTGCAGGAGCAGCAGAAGCAGCATCCCCTTTGGTCACCTATGTGTTTGGAGACTCCTTAACTGAGGTTGGAAACAACAACTTTCTTAACTCCCTTGCACGCTCCGACTATCCGTGGTACGGACTTGATTATAACGGCGGCCAACCAACTGGCCGATTCACTAATGGTCGAACCATCGGAGATATAATATGTACGTATGTATTCCCAAGTTACCAACGTTGTAGGTCTTTATATCTCGATTTATTGGGTATATGTATGTATGTATTCTCTCGATTACCTCACGACACGGGTACTATTATGTAAGGATCAATGAGCACAAACCCACTTTAGATTTAAGTTAATTATTTGATTTGAAGATTGATAAATTATCTTTGTAGCTTCCAAGCTAGGAATTCCGTCGCCGCCTCCGTACCTATCACTTTCTCAAGACGACGATAGACTCCTCCAAGGTGTCAATTACGCTTCTGGTGGAGCGGGAATTCTCAACGACACTGGACTCTACTTTGTAAGAATGATAATAAACTTTTTTCATATCTCAAAGTCTAAACATTAAAAAATAAAATAAAACAATATACCAATTTGACTTGCTTATTAAAATTACAATTTTTTTTTCAGATCCAAAGATTATCGTTCGATGATCAAATTCAGAACTTCAACCGGACAAAAATGGCGATCAGAAGGAAGATCGGGGATGAAAAAGCTAATATACATTGCAATGAAGCCTTGTATTTTATTGGAATTGGTAAAGAGTATTTTGCTATTTTTTTTCTAATTAAGAAGAGGGTAAAAGTATTATAATTAAATTTACCCTAATTCATTAACCAATTTAACATCGTATCATAACACGAGGTCTGAGTTAATGTTGTTTGATTTCTTACAAATTTTTGAGTCCACGAGTAAAAAAAGTAATAAGCATAGATGTTATTAAACTTACCGTAAATTATTTGAGAGAAATAGTGTGATGAAATGTTTTAAGATATAATATATTTGATGTTGTGTGTTTGTAGGTAGCAATGACTATGTGAACAATTTCTTGCAGCCATTTTTGGCCGATGGGCAACAATACACGCACGATGAATTTTTGAGCCTCTTACTCTCTACATTGGAACAACAATTTACGGTGAGCTAAAATCTAGAATAGATTTATGTCTAATAAGTATCTGAATTTGAAAAATGTTAAATAGATTCACACATAACGTATTCATCATAATTAGAAGTTCTAGTTTCGTATTAAGGTCACAATCGATATCGTTACTATCATCAATAATCAAACCCTTGCCCAAGAATAAAAATTAAAATAGGTAGTGGGATGGAGACTGGGACGGAAAAGATTTCCTCATCTTTGTCTCATCTCACGAACATCTCCACCCTATCTAAAAAGAAGAATTTAATCAAACTTTTGATGATTTGATTGTATAGAGGCTTTACCAATTGGGTGCAAGAAAGATGGTGGTGCATGGGCTAGGGCCATTGGGGTGCATCCCTTCACAAAGAGTGAAGTCAAGAAAAGGGCAATGCCTAAAAAGAGTGAACCAATGGGTTCAACACTTCAATTCTAAGCTCCAAATCCTCGCAATAACTCTCAACAAAACCCTCCCAAACGCTCATTTTCTATTTGCAGATACTTACCCGGTCGTTCTTGACCTCATCACCAATCCTTCGACTTACGGTACGTAATAATTTTGGTCTTTTAACGTTCATTTTTATCTTTAAAAAATTGTTTAAATAGAACTCTAATCTAATGTCAGTAGATGACTATAATATAATATTAAATTTTAGGGATTAAAATGAAATAGATATAAAAGTTTAAAGAAAAAATAATAATATTAACTGTTTCGACTTTGAACTTATATGTAACTATAGGACATAAAAGTTGTAACAGCTCAAACCCTCCACTAGCAAATATTGTCCTCTTTAACTCGTTATGTATCGTTGTGATATCCCACATCGGTTGGGGAGGAGAACGAAACACCGTTTATAAGGGCGTGGAAATCTCTCCCTAGTAGACGCGTTTTAAAAATCTTGAGGGGAAGCCCGAAAGGGAAAGCCCAAAGAGGACAATATCTGATAGCGGTGGGCTTGGGTCATTACGATCGTCGTCAACCTCATAGTTTTAAAGCACGGGAGATGTTGTTTCATTCCTCTCCTTAACTGTTCTTGCTGACAAACCATTCAGTATCTGGCTCTAATACCATTTGTAACAGCTCAAGCCTACCATAAGCAAATATTGTCGGTTTTAGCTCGTTACGTGTAATCGTTAGTCTCGTAGTTCTAAAACGTGTCTACTAAGAATAGGTTTCTATACCTTTATAAAGAATGCTTCATTCTACGATTTCACAAAAGTCTATCGAAACTTTCACATTCTTCTACATTAGCTATCTAATTACTACGACGGAATAAATTAACGTTTTATGAAAGTTCAAAACGAAAAAAGTACGCATAAGTCGAGTTGTATAACCTAACTTTTTTTCGTTAAAATTTCAGGTTTCAAAGTATCAAATACATCTTGTTGCAATGTGGACACAAGTATTGGAGGGCTTTGTTTGCCAAACTCAAAAGTATGCAAGAACAGAAATGAGTATGTGTTTTGGGATGCCTTCCATCCCTCTGATGCTGCTAATGCTGTCTTGGCTCATAAACTCTTTTCATCTTTATTCCCTTCTTCTTCTTCTTCTTCTTCTTCTTCTCCGACGCCCTCTCCTTTGCCCTCCCGTTAAAAATTTATATGAACGTTCACCGATATCTCGATATTTTGATATACTCAAAACTAAGTTACGATACTCATATGTATATTTTTATTGTTCTATGGTAAGCATATCGACGAAATGTAAGACTGTGTAGCCTTGTTTATCTACTTACGTCTTTATAATTCACAACGAGAAAAACGAGAAAAACGACTTATACTTACGCATAAGTCGAGTTGTATAACCTAACTTTTTTTCGTTAAAATTTCAGGTTTCAAAGTATCAAATACATCTTGTTGCAATGTGGACACAAGTATTGGAGGGCTTTGTTTGCCAAACTCAAAAGTATGCAAGAACAGAAATGAGTATGTGTTTTGGGATGCCTTCCATCCCTCTGATGCTGCTAATGCTGTCTTGGCTCATAAACTCTTTTCATCTTTATTCCCTTCTTCTTCTTCTTCTTCTTCTTCTTCTCCGACGCCCTCTCCTTTGCCCTCCCGTTAAAAATTTATATGAACGTTCACCGATATCTCGATATTTTGATATACTCAAAACTAAGTTACGATACTCATATGTATATTTTTATTGTTCTATGGTAAGCATATCGACGAAATGTAAGACTGTGTAGCCTTGTTTATCTACTTACGTCTTTATAATTCACAACGAGAAAAACGAGAAAAACGACTTATACTTACGCATAAGTCGAGTTGTATAACCTAACTTTTTTTCGTTAAAATTTCAGGTTTCAAAGTATCAAATACATCTTGTTGCAATGTGGACACAAGTATTGGAGGGCTTTGTTTGCCAAACTCAAAAGTATGCAAGAACAGAAATGAGTATGTGTTTTGGGATGCCTTCCATCCCTCTGATGCTGCTAATGCTGTCTTGGCTCATAAACTCTTTTCATCTTTATTCCCTTCTTCTTCTTCTTCTTCTTCTTCTTCTCCGACGCCCTCTCCTTTGCCCTCCCGTTAAAAATTTATATGAACGTTCACCGATATCTCGATATTTTGATATACTCAAAACTAAGTTACGATACTCATATGTATATTTTTATTGTTCTATGGTAAGCATATCGACGAAATGTAAGACTGTGTAGCCTTGTTTATCTACTTACGTCTTTATAATTCACAACGAGAAAAACGAGAAAAACGACTTATACTTACGCATAAGTCGAGTTGTATAACCTAACTTTTTTTCGTTAAAATTTCAGGTTTCAAAGTATCAAATACATCTTGTTGCAATGTGGACACAAGTATTGGAGGGCTTTGTTTGCCAAACTCAAAAGTATGCAAGAACAGAAATGAGTATGTGTTTTGGGATGCCTTCCATCCCTCTGATGCTGCTAATGCTGTCTTGGCTCATAAACTCTTTTCATCTTTATTCCCTTCTTCTTCTTCTTCTTCTTCTTCTTCTCCGACGCCCTCTCCTTTGCCCTCCCGTTAAAAATTTATATGAACGTTCACCGATATCTCGATATTTTGATATACTCAAAACTAAGTTACGATACTCATATGTATATTTTTATTGTTCTATGGTAAGCATATCGACGAAATGTAAGACTGTGTAGCCTTGTTTATCTACTTACGTCTTTATAATTCACAACGAGAAAAACGAGAAAAACGACTTATACTTACGCATAAGTCGAGTTGTATAACCTAACTTTTTTTCGTTAAAATTTCAGGTTTCAAAGTATCAAATACATCTTGTTGCAATGTGGACACAAGTATTGGAGGGCTTTGTTTGCCAAACTCAAAAGTATGCAAGAACAGAAATGAGTATGTGTTTTGGGATGCCTTCCATCCCTCTGATGCTGCTAATGCTGTCTTGGCTCATAAACTCTTTTCATCTTTATTCCCTTCTTCTTCTTCTTCTTCTTCTTCTTCTCCGACGCCCTCTCCTTTGCCCTCCCGTTAAAAATTTATATGAACGTTCACCGATATCTCGATATTTTGATATACTCAAAACTAAGTTACGATACTCATATGTATATTTTTATTGTTCTATGGTAAGCATATCGACGAAATGTAAGACTGTGTAGCCTTGTTTATCTACTTACGTCTTTATAATTCACAACGAGAAAAACGAGAAAAACGACTTATACTTACGCATAAGTCGAGTTGTATAACCTAACTTTTTTTCGTTAAAATTTCAGGTTTCAAAGTATCAAATACATCTTGTTGCAATGTGGACACAAGTATTGGAGGGCTTTGTTTGCCAAACTCAAAAGTATGCAAGAACAGAAATGAGTATGTGTTTTGGGATGCCTTCCATCCCTCTGATGCTGCTAATGCTGTCTTGGCTCATAAACTCTTTTCATCTTTATTCCCTTCTTCTTCTTCTTCTTCTTCTTCTCCGACGCCCTCTCCTTTGCCCTCCCGTTAAAAATTTATATGAACGTTCACCGATATCTCGATATTTTGATATACTCAAAACTAAGTTACGATACTCATATGTATATTTTTATTGTTCTATGGTAAGCATATCGACGAAATGTAAGACTGTGTAGCCTTGTTTATCTACTTACGTCTTTATAATTCACAACGAGAAAAACGAGAAAAACGACTTATACTTACGCATAAGTCGAGTTGTATAACCTAACTTTTTTTCGTTAAAATTTCAGGTTTCAAAGTATCAAATACATCTTGTTGCAATGTGGACACAAGTATTGGAGGGCTTTGTTTGCCAAACTCAAAAGTATGCAAGAACAGAAATGAGTATGTGTTTTGGGATGCCTTCCATCCCTCTGATGCTGCTAATGCTGTCTTGGCTCATAAACTCTTTTCATCTTTATTCCCTTCTTCTTCTTCTTCTTCTCCGACGCCCTCTCCTTTGCCCTCCCGTTAAAAATTTATATGAACGTTCACCGATATCTCGATATTTTGATATACTCAAAACTAAGTTACGATACTCATATGTATATTTTTATTGTTCTATGGTAAGCATATCGACGAAATGTAAGACTGTGTAGCCTTGTTTATCTACTTACGTCTTTATAATTCACAACGAGAAAAACGAGAAAAACGACTTATACTTACGCATAAGTCGAGTTGTATAACCTAACTTTTTTTCGTTAAAATTTCAGGTTTCAAAGTATCAAATACATCTTGTTGCAATGTGGACACAAGTATTGGAGGGCTTTGTTTGCCAAACTCAAAAGTATGCAAGAACAGAAATGAGTATGTGTTTTGGGATGCCTTCCATCCCTCTGATGCTGCTAATGCTGTCTTGGCTCATAAACTCTTTTCATCTTTATTCCCTTCTTCTTCTTCTTCTTCTCCGACGCCCTCTCCTTTGCCCTCCCGTTAAAAATTTATATGAACGTTCACCGATATCTCGATATTTTGATATACTCAAAACTAAGTTACGATACTCATATGTATATTTTTATTGTTCTATGGTAAGCATATCGACGAAATGTAAGACTGTGTAGCCTTGTTTATCTACTTACGTCTTTATAATTCACAACGAGAAAAACGAGAAAAACGACTTATACTTACGCATAAGTCGAGTTGTATAACCTAACTTTTTTTCGTTAAAATTTCAGGTTTCAAAGTATCAAATACATCTTGTTGCAATGTGGACACAAGTATTGGAGGGCTTTGTTTGCCAAACTCAAAAGTATGCAAGAACAGAAATGAGTATGTGTTTTGGGATGCCTTCCATCCCTCTGATGCTGCTAATGCTGTCTTGGCTCATAAACTCTTTTCATCTTTATTCCCTTCTTCTTCTTCTTCTTCTCCGACGCCCTCTCCTTTGCCCTCCCGTTAAAAATTTATATGAACGTTCACCGATATCTCGATATTTTGATATACTCAAAACTAAGTTACGATACTCATATGTATATTTTTATTGTTCTATGGTAAGCATATCGACGAAATGTAAGACTGTGTAGCCTTGTTTATCTACTTACGTCTTTATAATTCACAACGAGAAAAACGAGAAAAACGACTTATACTTACGCATAAGTCGAGTTGTATAACCTAACTTTTTTTCGTTAAAATTTCAGGTTTCAAAGTATCAAATACATCTTGTTGCAATGTGGACACAAGTATTGGAGGGCTTTGTTTGCCAAACTCAAAAGTATGCAAGAACAGAAATGAGTATGTGTTTTGGGATGCCTTCCATCCCTCTGATGCTGCTAATGCTGTCTTGGCTCATAAACTCTTTTCATCTTTATTCCCTTCTTCTTCTTCTTCTTCTCCGACGCCCTCTCCTTTGCCCTCCCGTTAAAAATTTATATGAACGTTCACCGATATCTCGATATTTTGATATACTCAAAACTAAGTTACGATACTCATATGTATATTTTTATTGTTCTATGGTAAGCATATCGACGAAATGTAAGACTGTGTAGCCTTGTTTATCTACTTACGTCTTTATAATTCACAACGAGAAAAACGAGAAAAACGACTTATACTTACGCATAAGTCGAGTTGTATAACCTAACTTTTTTTCGTTAAAATTTCAGGTTTCAAAGTATCAAATACATCTTGTTGCAATGTGGACACAAGTATTGGAGGGCTTTGTTTGCCAAACTCAAAAGTATGCAAGAACAGAAATGAGTATGTGTTTTGGGATGCCTTCCATCCCTCTGATGCTGCTAATGCTGTCTTGGCTCATAAACTCTTTTCATCTTTATTCCCTTCTTCTTCTTCTTCTTCTTCTTCTTCTCCGACGCCCTCTCCTTTGCCCTCCCGTTAAAAATTTATATGAACGTTCACCGATATCTCGATATTTTGATATACTCAAAACTAAGTTACGATACTCATATGTATATTTTTATTGTTCTATGGTAAGCATATCGACGAAATGTAAGACTGTGTAGCCTTGTTTATCTACTTACGTCTTTATAATTCACAACGAGAAAAACGAGAAAAACGACTTATACTTACGCATAAGTCGAGTTGTATAACCTAACTTTTTTTCGTTAAAATTTCAGGTTTCAAAGTATCAAATACATCTTGTTGCAATGTGGACACAAGTATTGGAGGGCTTTGTTTGCCAAACTCAAAAGTATGCAAGAACAGAAATGAGTATGTGTTTTGGGATGCCTTCCATCCCTCTGATGCTGCTAATGCTGTCTTGGCTCATAAACTCTTTTCATCTTTATTCCCTTCTTCTTCTTCTTCTTCTTCTTCTTCTCCGACGCCCTCTCCTTTGCCCTCCCGTTAAAAATTTATATGAACGTTCACCGATATCTCGATATTTTGATATACTCAAAACTAAGTTACGATACTCATATGTATATTTTTATTGTTCTATGGTAAGCATATCGACGAAATGTAAGACTGTGTAGCCTTGTTTATCTACTTACGTCTTTATAATTCACAACGAGAAAAACGAACAAAATTGAATAAATGAATTGTGTTAAAAAAAAAAAAAAAAAATCTCTTTTAATCTAATTGAAATTGAATGGAACCCATGCACAAGCATAGGCTCGTAGCCCAAAGCTAGCCCAAATCAACCGTATACGTTCAAATCCTTTACCTCGTTTTAAAAATTTAGGCCAAAATTTAAAAATTTATTAAAAAAATGTTTTAAAAAATTTATTTTAGTTTTTAAAATTGGTTCGAGTAGAAGTAGAGTACTAAATGAACTGCGTCCACGTTCAAATAAGAGTAGTTATGAAGGTATGAAATAAGATCTAGAAATACAAGAAACAAATGGATAGTTATTGTATATATTAACGGAAACCTATTTTTCTTTTCGTTAGCTCAATTATATGAACTCATATAATAACTCTAAATTTCTACTTAGCTAGAGTCGTTACTAACGTCTTATGTTCGGCTAAAATGCAGAATCTAGCTTTTAAAAGAAGACCATCATCTATAATATAAATGTTGAAAACATTTAAAAACATTTCCATATAGTATTACGTATTTAAATACGAAATACTGATATTTAGAGAAATTAAAAACAAATACAAAATAATTTAATGCAAAACAACCTGTTAGCATCAGACTAAGAATTTAAATATGAGTCAACCCTATACACATGTCAGAGTCTTTGTTTGCGATGTCGTCATCCTTCGTACAAGTGCATATTGACTTTACCTGAAAAATGATGTGACACACGACTTGAGTATTTCGAAGAATACTCAGTAAGTGGCCCCACTACAGGGGGCCATGCAACATCTATCTCTATTCTCTAGGGGTGACCACCAGTTTCGGACAAATTGGATATGTAGTACTTCCCTACGAACGACCCACACATGCGAGTGTGAATCTCCAGGAGGCTCGCACACCACCTGGACCCTCTAGTCAAGCTAATCTGTAGTGACATCCGAAGGTCGGCGGAACCCTATAATGTCATGCTCCCCATGAACACCATCATCATCATACTGTGCGTGTCTGCACTCATCGTCTTTGGGTAAGTATCCCTATGCTTATGAACATACAATATGCATGAGGTCCTTCTAAATTCCATCTTATCGTCTCTTTGTTACACTAAGTAACAGATGCTCGTTGGATATTTATATTCATATCATTTTCATGCTCTTAGGGTTGTGTCCTATGTCGATCTATCGACATGATGCAATATGACACTCATCATCATATACCATACTTAATATGGAAAACATCAACATATTAAGACAAATGCCATACAACCATCATACTCATCATATCGCCATAAAGTGCATAGTACGTCATACATCAAACTGTATATATTACGCACATCATCATATACTAGTATACGACATTATAAGATATAGCTCATGCATCATCATAACTCATATAATTTCTATTTTATCTTATAGTAAGGCCACTTACCTGATTAGTTTAAGCGGGTGTCACTAATTTATTCTTAATGAAAGTTCGATTTTATCCTTCGAAATCCTTGTAACCTATGTGAGCCCATTATATCAATTTAAATTTCAAACTTCAACGGTTGCTTTTATTTTGTCTAAAAAAAAAATTATTTCTTAAATAAAATTTTAAATTATTTTAAAATTAAAATTAGGTTGAGTTTGAAACCTCACTCGACTCAAATGAGATCAAAATTGTCATTTTCGATTATAAATTAGATTAAAAATTTAAAAACATCAATATTTTTCACGTTTTCCTCTTTCGTCCATCTTCCCAAACTTGCAAACTTGCAGCGGGATCATCTACGCTCTATGTACTATGTCTTTTCTAAGTTATAAACTATAAAAAATAGTAATAATATGAGAATAAAAGTTGCTAAAGGGAGCATATAGTTTGATGGTAATCACTATATCCTCCTTCCATTTTTCTTTTGAATCTCATATTGAAATTTTCGCTCGTTAGCCTACTCAGTTTGTGCGGATGTTAGTCTTAAATCATATCATTTAACTGAAACTCTGATAGCATTATCATGTACCATCAAACACAATTATTTGATTCTCAGTCATCTTATTCTCAGACATCTTATTATTTGTCGTCTGATTTAAAGTTTTGTGTAATGTCTGGGAATAAGATGCCTGAGAATAGAGTAACTACATTTGGTGTTGCGCGCTAATGATATCAGTATTTTATATAAATGAATAATATTCTTACTCTACCATTAATTCCAACATTTTTACATCATTAATTCTATGCTAGTTAGTTTATTTTTTATTAAATAAAATTATTAAAATAATTTTAACTAATTAAATTTTTATTCATTTATAAATACAATTTTCAAATATAAAAACTTGGGAGTAAAAATTTATAATGGATAGATAAGAGGCTGATATACAAGGTAATTCATTTTAAATTATCAAAATAATTTTAATTAAAATTTTGTAATTATAAAAAACAAAACACTTCTACCATTTTACTAAAATTTAACTTATCTTATTATTAATTAATTTAATAACATATTAATTAATAGCTTAATATAAATAATTTATTATGTTAACATTGTAAAAATGATTTAAGTAAATATAAGCATATTTATTTATAATAATAGAATAGTTTAGTATATTAAAAACTATAAATTTAAATTTAAACATATTTATAAAAATTAAATAAAATAAAAAGAAAGATAATAGAAAATAATAAGGGTAGGAATAAGGAATTTAAGAAAATACAAGCTCTTACCTAGTTTTTGTTAAAAAAAAATTAAATAAATAATTCCTTCCAATATTAGAAGCCAACATATATTATCTTATTTGAATTTTCATCTGTATTTGATTTTTCTTTTGTTTGATTCGGTGCTATTTTCTTTTATCTTTCATTTTTCTTTCCTTTGATTCGGTTTGCCTTCTCTCTATATTTTCTTTTATCTTCTTTCTGTATATTCTTGATTTTTAATTTAATTTAATTGGACTATTTTTTTTTATTATAATTCATATAAAATTATTGACAACTAAATAATTACAGATCTAAAATATCATTGGTTGTAATTTCCTATCTAATTCAAAATTAAATAATTGTAACCAAATTAATATCATTTAATAAAATAAAAGGAAGATATAACATACCACCTCTTCAAATGGCATATCTTCTCCGTTCAAACTAAATCTGCTTAAACCTTTTGTTTTTCCTAAAGAAGAAATTCTGACGTGTAAATCTACTGTTATTTTTAGAGGAAAAAGAAATTACTGATTTGTTGTCATATTTATTTTAGGAGAGAGTGATAAGAGATGGAAGGAGAGAGAAGAGATCAGTTACCATTTTTTTTTTTAATTTTTATTATTTATTTATTTGTATTATTATTATTATTATTATTATTATTCTTACTATTATTATTACTCTTTTTTTTTCCTTTGTGCATCAACATAAATGATATGATTTAAGACTAACATTCACAAAAACTAGATTACATATGACTAATCGAGCAAATTAATAACAAAAGTAGTAGACGATGACAACAAGTAAGAACAAGTAAGAATGAAAAGAATGGGCAGAGAGTTATAAGGTTGAGTCCGAGAACTTCAGGACTTCACGGTAACTTAACTCAAATTTTAGAGACCAAAATAGAAAAAAAAAAAATAAAAAAAGAATCAAATACCTTTGACTGGGATTATTTTCAAACAACTTATTCTCGACTTTACACTAAATCAAATATATATATTTTTTTATGTTTTCGATTTAATTTTTTACTTAAAAAAAAGACTAAACACATGTACTATAAGCCTAAAATTATACACAAGCTTTGATATGATACAAAGAAAGAATATTTGAATGGAATAAAACGCCCGTATAATAAATATATTCGACCATATTGAATTCTACCCAGCGAGTAATAAATACCAAACTTCAACTCAAATCGAAATCATACCATACAAAAATTTCAAAATTTCTTCCTCAAATCTTCCATTTGTTCTTTTAAGCTTTGTCTCCTTAAGAGAATAAAAATTCATGGCTGTTGTTCCATCTGACATTATGCCGGTATGGAGACCGCTGATAGAGGAAAATGTGAGAAATATTGATGTCAATGATCCAAAGGTTAAAGCGGTAGCAGAGTTTGCACTGAGTAAGTATCCTGGAGAAAAGTTGATCCTTCATCGAGTTGAAGCTGGTCAAACTGTTCAAGCATTTAGGCTCGAGTGGAACTTTTATTACAATCTTATTATCTCCGCCAGACGTTGCCATGAACCATTATTGGTGTTTTGTAGTGCCATTGTAAAACTACGTATTTCAGATCAATCTTATCACCCCATATCTTTCATCCATCTTCCCTAAACTGCATAGCTTGCATCGGGATCATCTATGTTCTATGTATTATGTCTTATCTAAGTTATAAGCTATCAAAAGTAGTAATAATATGAGAATAAAAGTTGCCAAAGGGAGCATATAGCTCGATGGTCATTACTATATCTTCCTTCCATTTTTCTTTTGCATCTCATATTGAAATTTACGCTCGTTAGCCTACTCAATTTGTGGGGATGTTAGTCTTAAATTGTATCGAAACTTTGATAGAATTATCATGCGCCATTGAACACAATTATTTGATTTACAGATATCTTAAAATCTCAAACATCTTATTATATAAAATTGTCTAATATCCGTAAATAGAATGTCCGAGTAATTGTGTTTGATGTTGCACGCTAATTATATCAATATTTTATATAAATAAATAATATTTGTGCTCGCTCCTCGCCATTAATTCCAATGTTATTTTTACATAATGATTTCTATGCTAGTTAATTTATTTTTATTAAATTAAATTATTAAAATAATTTTAAGTAATTAAATTTTTATTCATTTATAAATACAATTTTCATATATATGGTAATTCATTTTAAATTATCAAAATAATTTTAATAAAATAATTATAAAAAACAAAATTCTTCTACCATTTAATTGGACAAATTTAACTTTATCT